TAATAGTTTGTAAGCATGTTTTTTATATCAATCTTTCATTTATGATTTAAATAAAGGTAGATCTGTTTTTTTATATGTTGCTATATGAACATGTCAAGATCTTTACATAGAATTTTTCTAGTAGCTTTTGTATTTTGCATATTTACATGTCAAAACTGTCAAGCTAAAGTTTCCTTTAACTGTTCTCAGTAAACGTTTTGTGGGCACTTTGGTCCTTTTGTATATGGACGACTTAAAATGTTTAAAATAAAAAATCAAAACCAAATATTAAATAACAACATGTAACATGTATTCCCTTTTTATGCAAGCTATGCATTTGCTGTATCATGAAATAAACAAAAACATGTTAAAGGACAAATATTTCTCTTTTTTTTATTTTTAATAACTGAAGAAATTGGTTTTAAGTAACACATCATTTTATTTTTACGTTTTTAGGGAATCCACATTTAGTTCCTTCACAGTAAACTAGACAGCAGGATTATACAAAAAGCATCATATTCTGACCATGTTTACATTAATAGCCACGTCCACCCACTTAAATATTAGCCAACACATACATTACTGAAGGCCTTTATTGTACAGAGACAGAAACATTGCGAAGCCACTGACACTGACAGTTAGCTGATAGAGTTCCTGTCAGTTATCTCACTATTCAGACATATGTTACAGTGTGAATGTCTCTCATACAAAACCTGCACTCACTGAATGAGTGATCCTATTTACCAAAAGTATGAAATCAAAAAGAGGCTGAAAAAAACCCAACTCTAAATCACTGGCAAAAAACATTGTGTGTAATTGTGTTAGGAGACAAAATCATATTGAGGTGCAGTCGATCACACCAGCTGACACGACAGTTCCCATTTGAGCAACTGTAGTTGTATATTTGCTGAATACATTCACTCTTCATTCTTAAGGTTTTTTGGCGATATAATACTGTTGGTACCCAAACAAATGTCACTAGCAGGCTGTTTTCCTAATGCTGTCATTTGTAGCATCATCCTACACACAGAGTTGTTGTGTTAATCTTCACGAATTTAACACAAAGTCCTTCAAAGCCCTGTCAAGCTGGCATGTAGTTACATGTAGTGTACTAACAGCTCTGTTGCAAAGGAAGTTGTGTACAGATGCAGATAAGGGCCCTTTCGCATACTGTATGCACTGTCTGTGGTAATTTAGTAACAACAATACACATTTGGATTTAAGCAGAAAGGATTCATCTGTTGTGCCATCTAGTGTCAATGTTAAATTACTCGTGACAGTTCACCTGAACAGAGCGCTGATATAAACCTACCTGTTTCTCAGCTGCTGGCAGTACAATCAATGTCAAACACAGCACCGTCTCTATTTCATTACTTTCAAATGTATTAAAAAGTGGAAAACTACAACAAAGGGTCATAAAATAAGATAAAAAATGCAAACAAAGCCAAACTTTTTATTCCAGTTTTTTTAAATGCCCCCCTACTTTTGGGGCCCTGGGTAATCACGCCCTCTTTTCCCTTCCCACTATGATGCCCCAGCTCGCTCAAGATAAGACCATTCAGGTTTTTCATCGACCACCATTGTAAGCAAGCCCTCCATGACAAGCGCGTCACAAAAACTCCCATTTTTTTAACATGAAACTGCTTATTCAGTGTTTTTACTGGTTTAAATCGTGTATGTTTGTTTCTGAGAGGAAGAGACCTCTGCGGATCATTCAGCTCCCAGTAAAAACCTCTTGAGCATGAACTCAACACTGAAAGAATCCTAACAGAAAGACAAACGCTGCATTTACTGTAGTTTAAATATAGAGTTGTTGCTAAAAGGTCCCACTTTACATACTGCACATTATGTGTACTTAAACTAGTATATACAACACACAAGTTCAGTGCCATGTTGAGTGGCAACATGTGACAAGGAGGGGGCCCCCAACCCTGGGCTCCTATAAGTTGAAGGCTAGGTCAGTCCACTTCTATTTACTCTTTCACTTTTATCCACTGTGCAGAGGGACCCACCCATCCTGTGTCTGTGACACTTGGCTTCAGCATTCTGTTTTATATCTTACATTTCCTGTGAAAAATGTTAAGCCTGCAGATAAAGACACAGACTCTCAGGCTGCAAACACTTACTGTGAATACAATATAAAATAATGAGTACAGTATAAGAAGGATGATTATATATGGGCACCTGAACACATCAATATATGACTATATGGCTTCATTAAAAAATAAATATAAAAAATGTATATAAGAGTCCATGAGCATATAGAAGGAAAAATCATGAAGTATAACAGGGAATATTTGAAAAACAAAGTAAAACTTGACTGTACTCAGGTTCCTTTATTTCTTGAATACAAAAGAAAAACATACAAAGGAAAACAAAGGAAAATACAGACTTAATTGTCCCAAACAAACTCCAAACTCAGTAAGTAAGAGATGTTGAGATGTTCAGGAGAACTGGAAGCTGGAAGTTCACATTTTCATCCTTTTACCCTCTTTAACACCCAAAGCCAGTCTGTGACACGCAGCTGCCTTCCAGCTGTGTTTGTGGCAATCAAAGCCAGGTGTTTTTTGGCAACATCTGCAATTTTGGCTCACCATAACTAAGTAGTTTTGCTCCCCAAACCCAAACTGTCAACTCCGTCTTATTGCTGCATTTGTGCCACTCAAAGCAGGATGGCTCTTAAGCAACATTCACAGTCTTTATTTAACCATAACTAAATAGTATTGTTGCCTAAACCTAACCACCGACCCCTTCTGGCAAAATATGACCAGTAAGGATGAGATCAGGTAGGAATTTCAGGAATTGTCTTGAGTGGCCACAACCAGCTCGGGCAGCCACCTGGTGGAGATCTGTATTCTACTGAGTACACTCAGTTAAAGGGAAATTTCGGTTTATTTCAACCTGTCTCCTATCGTCCTAAATTTGTTTCAAGTGACTAGTGACATAAAAATAATAGTTAGCATGTTAGCCGCATAATAGCGTCAGACCTGTTAAAACGTAAGTGAACGGGCATACTTCAAGTGCAAAGTTAGTCCACTAAACAAGCTTTTTTTCCACAAAGACCGCCTCATATCGTTAGGATAAATGTCAGAGAACATATAGAAAAGGACATGTAAACGTGTTGTCTTACCTTACCGGTGTGGTGCCATGTTTGTTTATCATCTAGCTCTGTTTTCCAAAGCGCGGCTGAAATATCGCGAGAACAAGCAGCAATCTCATACCGTGCCTGTTGTGAGAGCAACAGCTGGAAGGCGGAACAGGACAGTACCCTGAAAAGTTCAGTCATTTATTTTAGATTTATAGAATAATGGCTGACTTTTTGCCAGACTTTGACTTTGTAGAGGAGGAATTTGATTTTGCAGAGTTTGATGGCCGCCGTTATTTATTTGAGCCAGAATACACTGACGAAGAGCTTTGTGAAATTGAAGAACGGAGGAGGAGGAGAGAGAGGTGCAACAGGTAGAGGACGAGAGAGGAGGAATGGCTGCTGCAAGGCTGCATAGCTCTGGAGATTGGTGGTGTACCTGTGAATGCTGTGCCCCAGTGCCCACAGAAGAGGAATGCCTCTTTTGCAAGGAATGGGACCGGTTGCAGCCTTATTTTCAAGGTCTGGATGTGACTGAGGACGAGACACCTCCACCTGGAGTAACGTTAGTATCCAGCTGGGCTTTATTTAGAGCTCGCCAGATATATTTCGGCCGCGCTTTGGAAAGCAGAGCTAAATGTAAACAAACATGGCACCATACCGGTAAGGTAAGACAACACGTTTACATATCATTTTCTATATGTTCTCTGACATTTATCCTAACGATATGAGGCGGTCTTTGTGGAAAAAAAGCTTGTTTAGTGGACTAACTTTGCACTTGAAGTATGCCCGTTCACTTACGTTTTAACAGGTCTGATGCTACTATGCGCCCCAGCTGTATCTAGGCTAACGGCTAACATGCTAACTATTATTTTTATGTCACTAGTTACTTGAAACAAATTTAGGACAATAGGAGACAGGTTGAAATAAACCGAAATTTCCCTTTAAGATGTGGAAAGTAAAGATTTTAAACTGAAAGGTATTTCAGTCAGATTTACTGACTGACAAGTTTAGCTGACATTTATTTCACTATAACGTCCAATCAATAAATTGGTTGAACTCTACTCCAAACCCTTCAGTCTGTCAGCAGTAACCTCACTTTACAAGTTACGAGGCCACTCTCAGCACACACCAACAACATGCTGGGGACCTTCGCTCTTCCATCACTGCTCTAACATGTAAGATATCCCTCACATTTCTTTAACAGCCCGTATTTGCACACAGAAACGTTTCACTCATGTATTTTTTTTTGTATGTTGACAGATTTTGATGCAGCGATAGTGCTGACCCAGACGCCTACTGTTTTTACAAGCTCAGAAGTTGTTCTGGACTGCAACACTGATTATGGATACTATGTCAGGTGGTATAAAATGGTTTCTCAGTTCACCCAGCCGTGGATCGGGATTCTCTTCAGATCGATTCAAGCCTCATCAAACGCAGATTATCTGTTCACCATAAAGAGGCAGGAGACTCTGCTGCCTGTTACTGTGGGACACGAGGCAGCTCTGCTTCTGCAGCTATATCACTGTGATTGCAAACAGGTGGTGGCTTAATTTCACAGCTACAATCTTATGACGACAGGTGAGATTCAGCCTTTTCAAATAAGACACTGCACACTATAAGAACACTACAATGTGCATTAAACTTTAACCAGATCACGCAGTGATTACACACCAAAAACCTTAATGTGAGAGACTCACTACAGATTTTATGAATTCTGACCAAAATCAGTTTAAATCAGTACATTTGAAACAAAAGACATTAATAAATTGATTTTACAGAGTGTTTGATAAAAGTCCTGCAGTGTTCTGGAATACAATCAGACTGATAAAGTGAATGAGATGTTGAAAGTGAAAGCTGGTCTCAACAGGATGTTTCAGCACCACTCCCCTTGACAGGATGTTTTCGTACCAGAATGAGAGAAAAAATTCGTCACTGTGGCATTCGTACAAGGACTCAAGCTGATCTTGATAAGTAAGTACTTCATAACTGATTACCAAAAAAGAAAGAAAAATACATTTTATGTTTTTGATAAGTACTGAAAGAAATAGTCACCTTATAGGCCTATGTTGCATATATCATTTAAAATATTTAACATGTTGTTTGGTGAACAACAGACTTTTCCCATCTGCTTTGATACCAGGCTGTGTGTTTGAGGGCAAAGCAATCATCTGCAAATAATCACCTTATTTTGAATATGTTCTACAAACAGTCTAAGATGGTCTTTGATGGGTGATTAAATTTTATCAGTTGGGCAACATGGATGGTCAGTCCAACAGGTAGTCAGTTTCTAATTAACTCAGACATTGTTTATTTCCGACACTGTCAAATTTCCTCCATGGGGTGGGGATCATATCAGCCAATCACCCAGCTACAGGCTTTCTCCTGTACCAAACGATCCTTTTTATGTCAGCATTTGAAAATCTACTCAGTCAACGTCTAATATTTACACAAACTATCCTGAATGGCATTTTAACCAGGTGTGTTTCGAAACAGCAGTCAGTGACTCAGGGGGGACTGTAGCTCTAACTGAGGCAGACACAGCACCAGAATATCTCAAGACAAGTCAGTGAACAGTTGGTTCAAGTCCACCGCTCTTCAACTTGCAAGAGGGTGGGACAGCTGTATGCTATATGGCATGACCAAGTGTTAGCCCACATGTAAACGAAGCTCGCTGTGTCCTGGTTAGTCAGTTTGCAGACTGCAGGAAGTGCACGTGAGAGTCATAATAGTAATGCTACAAACTGTTGGATCAACATGTTAGATTTCACAGATCAGAGAAACAAATGACAACATGTGATGCTGAACTTGGATCATATTATAGTATAATTTTATAGGGCACATTCAACTTTACTGTTGTGCTCAGGAATTCACATGATCTCTGATTTTTCATTTCTTCTTTCTTTTCTTCTCTTTCTGCAGAATTAACAATGGCACAGCTGCAAGATATGGCCTCTACAGCAAGTAGAGAAGGAAGACCAGCCTTGATCTCTCACGTGAGAAGTGAATTTAAAAAGAGCGCTCTTGTGTCAAGCGCTTTTTTTGGCACCATCCTTCTTTGCTTGGAGAAGTTCATTGAAAAAGAGTTTGCATGCCCTTGCAAATATGGTTTGAATGCTGTGTTTGCAATTGTGTATTTAATTGTTCCTGCAGTTGTGGTCTTTTTGCTGATGATGAACATTAAAGACTTTAAGTGTGGGATGTCTCAAAAGGAGATCTGGAAAACTGTGGCTTCCAGCTTTGTCACTGCCATGTTTTGGATCATCATTGTGTTGTGGGATGGCCATTGTGTTGCCTGTATGAAGACAACCTGGTCAGGCAGTTACGTGGAAATTGACAAAGCAGCTCCTCAGAAATGGTGCAAACCAGCCAACCTCACCTCATCACAAGAGTTGGACTACAAGAACGAGACTCAGCATTGGTTTTTCGTGTCTCAGGTAAGGAACAATCTGATGTCCCATACGCTGCAGCAGTCTTTGTTTAGGAAGGTTCCTTAATGAGTGAAATGATCTGGAAGTATCTAAGTGGCAGCCATGATAAGAGCTGGTCAAATTCTCTGAATGCTAAGGAACAATGCTTTAGTTCTTCCTTTTTGACAGTCATACTAGTTGCTCTGTGAAGCTCAGGCACAGTGGTGCTTTGAGCTAAATGTTAGCATGCTAATATGCTAAGAGTCATAGACATAGACGTCGCGTTGACTGCTGCTGCCGATTGGAGCGATGCACCTACACGGCGGCCATTTTGGTACAGTGCCACTCGCTCCTACAGCGCATTATCTATAGAGGAATGACGCGGGTTGTTTGTTACAAACTTCAGACATGGAGGACAGACAGACAGATACAGACATAAATAGAACAAAAGAAACCCAGAAAATGTTCAGGTGTGCTCAGGTCTTTATTTAGACAATTGCTTGTAGGGTATATATTGTATTTGATTATTATTATTATTATTGCTATTATCATTATTGTATTATTATTATTATCATTATTATGATTTTCATTATCACTCTCATTATGATTATTATTATTGTAGGTATAAAATCAGCTGTCTCTACCCTTTGTGAACAGCAGACCGTCAGTCTGCAGGATCTTACAGGCTCCATCACATGCTGTTATTTGTTTGAATGTACATATTAAATACATCCAATATCTATCATTAATCCTCTAACTGGTCAATCACTGCAGTCTAAGGTCTGTTTTTTTATCAGACCAGAGGCAGTTTATAGATGAAATAAAATTACATTCTAACCGAAATTATGTCTCAAATTAGTTATTTCACTAGTAAGCAGCTGTGTAATACGTGGGATTGTCTGCTGAAAACATTAAGTAGAATTTGTATTTGAGTAGTAAAACTGGCATTTTTAAAATATCCAAGCATCCTGTGTTGTAGCTACACATGTGACGTTTTTAACAAATCAAACCGTTTGGAAATCGGTCGAAAATTCAGTGAATAATTCTACTTTGAGATTGTGGAGTATCTCTGCTAGCCCTGTACCAAGATGAAACTCCGGTAACACTCCAGGGGGTAGCACGTAAAAGACTCCGTCCCAAACTCTGATTCTTCTAGCGTAACACACACACTTCATACACACATACTCACTTACAGTACCCAGCGGGGCAGCCCTCCCCCTCTCTGCTCCAACACTGACTGACAGCTGACTCCACTCATAGCACTCATAGCACTGGCGATCTGAACCGGTCAGTGGCGAAAAAAAGCACTTTTAATGCGCAAACTTATACAGGACGCATTTGCCCCCGTTACCATTGCGCGTTTTCACTTACTATTAACATTAGTGCTGTTAGCACTGTCACCTTATTCTAAAACTCATCAGTCATCACTGACTTTTAAAAATCCGGGGTTGCGTTTGACTGTCATGATTGTAACGTTACACTCGCTCTCCCCTTCCGTGTATCTAACGTTACCTTGCCAACGCCTACATCTATCATAGACGTAATGAGGACGTAATGGAGGAGGGGGAGTAGGCCTTCGGAGGGAGGTGGAGTTGTGGATGTTCAAATTTTTTCTAAGTGCTGTGTGAAATGCAAATAAGGTGAAAGTAGCTTTAAGAGCATAAATGTATGCGGCTATACTCAACAGTTGTTGAAACATTTGCCCAAAACCCTCAACTGTTAACCTCATGGTGGTGCTAACAGAAAATTTCAAGGATCACCAAAGTCAGTGGAATTCATTGTCAAGGAACCACGAATAACTTTCTAACATTTCTTGGTAATGCACGCAGCAGTTGTTGAGCTACATCAGTGGAAAACTGAACAACTTTCTACAAGATTTGTTGCAGTGTTGATAATCATCTTAATTTCATGTGTCTTTTTCTTTGTTTTTCTTTGGTCTGTGTTTTAGTGCGTAGGAATGGGGCTGATCATATTGATCATCGTAGTGTATTTGATCTTGAAGTGCTGCTGCCAACAGGAAGCTGCGGAAGTTATCAGTCACCAAGTTAACGACAGCAGGGATGCTGCCGATCACGATCGACTTTAAGAAATTAAAGGATAAAAAGATAAAATGGACATAATTTCAAAAATGAAGGAGACCGAAGGCTTTGGTTATGATTAAAGAAGTGCCTACTGTAGAAATCATTATTAAAAGATATCATGGATAAAGCTGAGAAACAACGTCATTAATCACATTGTTGTATTGAAAGTAACAAGTCTGGCAATTAAGTGGGCCATTTTGGTGAAATAAAATAAAGTTCAATCTGCATCAAAAGAAATTTATCTAAAATCAGTTTGCATGTCTAATTCCAACTTCTTCATCTGGAGGCCACGTCATGTCAGTAACTTAGACAGTGGAGACAGGTGTGTACTTGTGTGTGTGTTGTGTAAATAAACAAGTTCTGCAGAAACAGATTACATCAAGAGGCTTTTAAGAACTATTTACAAGAAATATTTTACTTAAATAATGATATCTTTTTTAACATTGTCTACTTCAACTTTAAAAGCCGTCTGTGTACAATCATATGAAATAATTAATACATGACTATTTCTTGATCATCATTATTTGTGATGATGTGAATCTTTTTGATTTTGATTTTCTGTGATAAGAATGAAGCAAGAAATTTCCTTTACTCTCTACAAAATCTTAACTGAAACAAGAGCTGTAAACATAAAAGTTGTAAAGCTAATACTTATTATATCTGTTTCATTTTGTATATTCCATCTTTTCATCAAAGTAAAAACTGTGAAATTAAAGTTTGCTTTAACTCGTCTATGTAATTACTTTGTGGTGCTTTTACTGTTGACTTTACACTTTGGTCTGTCTGAAAACTTGTAACGTCTATAATTAAACAGAAATCAAACACGAAATAACAATATATTACATGTATTTCCTTTTTCATGTAAGCTATGCATTTGCTGTATCACAATGAAATAAATAAAAAACATTTTAAATGACAATTATTTATCTTTTTATTTTTAATAACTGAAGAAATTGTTTCTTATTAATACACCAATTTATTTTTAAGTTTTTAGGGAATCCACATTTATTTCCTTCGTAGAAAAACAGATGACAGAATTTCACAAAATATTTTAAGTATCATATTCAGTTCATGTGGATTGAATTAATATTTAATAATATTTAACAGTGTGGTATATTTTAATTCATTAACCAAAACTTTCTTCCAAAAACTGTCCATATGACCTTTGGGTCACTAATGGAAGGTAAGTGTCTAGTTTCATTCACAACTGGGCCTAGAGGGACTCCATGGAGAAGGAATCACAAAGTATTGAGGTCCATTTTTGAAAGTTTAAGCCAGTTTTATTTAATTATTGACTCTTTTAGGGGAATGCCCTGATAGCTGAGTCTCCTTTAAACATTCAGTCAAGTGCCAGTGACGTAAACAAGTCTGAGAAACTGTGAATTCATTTGTACACTGTATAAGAACGTTGATGTTTTAGACAAGAACATTTACAAAGTATTCTGATCTTTGAATCAGACAAACAAGCAGAATCCCAAACGGTACTGAGATATCATCGAGTACTGTTTTAACCACTCTTTCTGTGTTTATAACGCTCAACATTCTTTAGATAACATAAGACGGAAACATGTTACACTGAACACAGAGAGTCACACCAGAGATCTGATTCCCTGTCTGACTGGGCCCAACCCAACCAGCCGAGTCCGGGCTGGCCTGGAATTTTCTTATTATTTATCCAGGCTTGAAACAGGACGGGTTCTGGCCAGGGTACCTGTTTTTTGTTTGCTACTTGTTGGCTGCAACAAGGGGAAGAAAAGTGACGCAACAACGGAGCAATATAGTGGAGAACAGGCAAGGCAACTTGGTTGGCAGTGTTTGCTTCTGCCTCCCCAGCAGTGGGAGAGGCGCACATAACATGCAGCAAAGAGCAGTGATCATTATCTGCATGCCACATCGCCGTGGGCCTTGCACATTAGATGCACCAGAGCACAGCCCACTCTGCCAAACCTGTCATGCACAAGATGACAGACACTTAAAATAACAGAAGGAAGAGAAGGAAGTGGTGCAACGAAACACGTCATCCCTCAGCTTGTAATACATTTTTTTACATTTAAAAATATATAATATATAAAATACAGTATATTTTTTACAGCAGAAATTCAGGTTTTTAATGGAGCTTGAGGTGACGGAAATCGGGGCCTGGAATTGGGCCTGATGGCTCCCGACCCTGTCCTCCTTGCTTCTTTTAAAATGTCTTCTGTTGTCAATTCAGTATCTTAGGTTCAGCTGGCAGGTACTTAGAAAAACACTGGAGATAGGCAGAATCTGGTGCAATCGAGTTTATTGTGTTCACAGGCAACAACACAGACAAACTCACGAGTCAGCCTCCGGAGGATGACTGAAAAACTGCTCTCAGCGCTCTGGCTTATATGCTGGTGGAGGTCGAAGAGATCTCCACCCATTTCTATAGTCCTTCCCCTTTCGATCCGTTTTTACTGGTGGCAGACTTTTGCCGTTATTCCGGTTCAAGCTGGAATCTGCCACCAGTATTTCCGGAACAATTCTTGCTCTGTTTTTTAAAAATCATGTGATCTGTGGGGACTCACATGCTATAGTCCCTCGTGTTCTTAATTTTAGAAAAACATGTGATCCCGGATGACTCTCATGCTGCAGTTCCTCGTGACACAATCATTTGAGTGTGTGTGTGACCTTTATGTAAACTCTTAAGTGCATTAAGCAGTACAATCATGTGAGTGTGCTATCTTCTTCACCCAGCACGTGGTAACTTGTATAAGTGTCATTGTAAGTTCACAACATCATGTGAGTGTAGGTTAGTGCATTATATCATTACACAGCGCGTGATGATTATGTGTGTCAATAAGAGTTCATAACTAAAATGTCACTAAGAGTTCACACCGTTACATTGCATATTACACACGAATGCAGGGTTAGTCTTTGCAAAAGTCTACACACTAACATGGTTATATAACTATTTTGTATCTTATCCAGTTTATATGGTTTAATATCTGATGAGGGTTTTAACTTTTACACTACAAGCTCAGGCCCAAAATGGCTGCCTTGGTTCAGGCACAAGTCAAACGGTGCAGATTCATGTAGGATCAGGCCTGATCTTTGGGGTCAGATCAGAGCACAAAATTACACAATCAAAATTTGACGACGATAACAGTTTTTTCTATGCAAAAAACCCCACACTTTCATCAACATGTCATGTGGAGCTATTTCTGTAATTGGAAGTTTGCTTTAACATGCCGATTTTCCGTTTTCAATGCAGGAAACTCACACACACACAAGCTGTGCCCGTGTTGAGTGAATTTGTAGTAAATTGACTGATTCATTAGGAAGAAATCAGAATCAAATTATAAACTGGAGAAAGGGGAGGAGCAGAATTTTCATGCCATTAACACAACATGCCCACAAGCCACAAGCTTGAGCTAGACATGCTGAATGTGGCCTCCAACCAACCTGGAAAGGAAGAACTTAAGACAAAGTCTATTTCACGTCTGGGTTCTGATCTGACAAAGACTGAAGAACTCTGAATCCTTCAATGCTAGATCTCTCTCGTACTGCTCTGGCTCCTCTGCCTGCAGCTCCTGCCTTGATCATTAGTCAACATGTTTTGGGAGACAAATACATATTGAAGTGCAATCAATCATACTAGCTGACACAGTTTCCATTGGACTGATTGTGATACATTTGGACAGTGTGTGACACGCAGCTGCCTTCCAGCTGTGTTTGTGGCAATCAAAGCCAGGTGTTTTTTGGCAACATCTGCAATTTTGGCTCACCATAACGAAGTAGTTTTGCTCCCCAAACCCAAACTGTCAACTCTGTCTTACTGCTGCATTTGTGCCACTCAAAGCAGGATGGCTCTTAAGCACCATTCGCAGTCTTTATTTAACCATCACCAAGTAGTATTGTTGCCTAAACCTAACCACCGACCCCTTCTGCATCAAGATACAATGCAAAAGGCTGCCCTTGGCGTCATTTTAGTCGTTTGCCCAAGTGGCAAAATATGACGAGTAGGGATGAGATCAGGTGGGAATTTCAGAAACTGTCTTGAGTGGCCACAACCAGCTTGGGCAGCCACCTGGTGGAGATCTGTATTCTACTGAGTGCAGTTAAGATGTGGAAAGTAAAGATTTTAAACTGAAAGGTATTTCAGTCAGATTTACTGACTGACAAGTTTAGCTGACATTTATTTCACTATAACGTC